CACTGGCCCTCATATGTGGGATCCGAACCGGGGCCCTCTGGCATCCCAAGCCAGCTCTTAACCATCGCGCCACTCGGCCGGCCCTCTAACATCACTTTTCTGTGACATATGTGTCCACCCTTTGTTGCGAACACTCCCAGTGATAGAGGCCTTGCCCTTTTTCCCATGGGGTTTCTCTCCCTACCTCTCGCCTTCCAAGGCCCAGCAAAAGCTCTTAATGTTAGAATTTTAGCAAAGCTCTTGGAAAGAAAAGCTGGTTGAATTCCAGCAGCTAAGTGTTGCATTTCTTTGATGAACATTTCAAATGGATGTTTTTGGTGGAAGAAGATGATGAAAGGAGGAAGTATGCAACTTGAGCCTTTATTTTGACTTCTCGTTGATACTCAAAAGAGCTTGGTTGGCCTGGCATCTGCCTTGATGCATAGCATTCTGGAGCTGAGCTGAGGAAGGCCATCGGCCTCAAATACCTGTTTCTCCACTAGCCTGCTAAGGAAGGAGACAGGAAGATGACTGAGGTGGTAGGCACCTTGTAGTTATATTAGAAGATAACCCAAGAGACTGTGGTTTGGAACCAAATATGATGAGAGATTTGGGACATTCTACTGTGCAGACAAACTAAAGATGTTAGAGGAAAACTACTTCACATGGATAATGGTCATGGCAATTGGAGCCCTTGGTCCTACTCTGAATTTGCCTCTTGCTCCATAACCTTTAGGAAGTCTCCTCAACTTCCTGTGGATTTTTCCATTGAAAAACTCACCCAATTGATGAGTTTCAAGAGGTCCTGCAAACTAAATGGAGAAAATGTACATGTGATGGCATATGGAGGTAAGAGAAGTCATAGAACCTGGGAGAGATTCGTTTCTATAGATGGTGGCTAGTGTAGGAAGGATAGTATCGAAATCACTGCTTTTCTCCCTCATGTGAGGTGTTCAGCTGGTCCTGAGGTCCACAGGCCAGCTCTCTGAGAGTGTATCATCCCTCTGAGGAGCAGAGTTTTAAACGTGTTTGCTTGTGCCATACATAATGCCATACAGTAGTTTGAGTTAGCCATTTCTCTGATAAAGTCTATAATCCATTTGTGCTTCACCTGGCTTTTACCAACTACTCTCCTCATAAGAAAAAAAAAAAGGCAAAAGTGAAATGTACTCTCTCCTTGTCTTTTTGGCCATTTTAATTCATTCTCTCTGTTTTATTGTTTTTTGGTGTTTTTTTAAATCTTTTCAGAATTAAAAGCAACAAATGCTTCTGCGGCTCCTCGGTCCTTTTATCTCAGGAATTCCAATGATGGATTTGAACCATTCCCATTGGAGGACGATGAGGAGAAAAATCAAAGCAGGTTAGCTGAAGACAGATTAAGCTCCATCAATCAAAGCAGTCCTCTTCAAAACGGACCCCTTGTGTTCATCTCGAAAGATGCCTCAGGATATCTGACCAGCGCCTGGTTGACTGTATTTATCCCCTCCGTCTACACTGGCGTGTTTGTAGTCAGCCTTCCTCTAAATATCATGGCCATCGTTGTGTTCATCTTGAAAATGAAGGTCAAGAAGCCTGCCGTGGTGTATATGTTACACCTGGCCACAGCAGATGTGCTTTTCGTGTCTGTGCTCCCCTTTAAGATCAGCTACTACTTTTCTGGAAGCGATTGGAAATTTGGGTCTGAAATGTGTCGCTTCGTCACTGCGGCGTTTTACTGTAACATGTATGCCTCCATCATGCTCATGACCGTCATCAGCATTGACCGGTTCCTGGCAGTGGTGTATCCCATCCAGTCCCTCTCCTGGCGGACTCTGGGGAGGGCCTCCTTCACTTGCCTGGTCATCTGGGCTATGGCCATCTCGGGGGTGGTGCCTCTTCTCCTCAAGGAACAAACCACCCAGGTGCCAGGGCTCAACATAACCACCTGCCATGACGTGCTCAATGAAACCCTGCTTGAAGGCTACTATGCGTATTACTTCTCAGCCTTCTCTGCTGTCTTCTTTTTTGTGCCATTGGTCATTTCCACAGTCTGCTATGTGTCTATCATTCAATGCCTTAGCTCTTCCACAGTTGCCACCCGGAACAAGAAGTCCCGAGCTGTGTTCTTGTCGGCTACTGTTTTCTGCATCTTCATCGTTTGCTTTGGACCCACAAACGTCCTCCTGATTCTGCATTACGCATTTCTTTCTCATAATCCCTCCACAGAAGCCGCCTACTTTGCCTACCTCCTCTGTGTCTGTGTCAGCAGCATAAGTTGTTGTATTGATCCTTTGATTTACTATTATGCTTCCTCTGAGTGCCAGAGGTACCTCTACAGTATTTTATGCTGCAAAGAGAGTTCTGATCCCAGCAGTTATAACAGCAGCGGTCAGCTGATGGCAAGTAAAATGGATACCTGCTCCAGTAACCTGAATAACAGCATATACAAAAAGCTGTTAACTTAGGGAAAGAGACTGCTGGTGGGTTAAAAAGAAAAGGTTAAAAGAGCAAATAACCTGAGGATTCTATTAGTCCTTGCCAAAAAAATTATTTACTTTACCATCTAAAACAACAAATGGTGTGATTCACATGCCTCCTTATGAGAGCCATTAAGCATATATGTTACTTACAGAAAAAGATAGCATGAATATAAAACAGCTATTCTGAGATAGTATTTCCAGTGCTACAATAATAACTAAATGTCACTTTTTGGTATAGTTAGTGACTTACTGTACACATGTGTGTATACATATGTATGTGTATACACATGCTTGTATCAGTTGCAGTGCATAGAATAGGCACTTTGAAACCCTCTTTCACCCAGAGATTATGAAAATAAACTCTGATTCTCTGATTTAATATGCAACATTTAGGTTGGTGGAGCTGAGCCCTGAACATCTAAAGATGCCTGTCGACAACAAGGGAGTCTGTAATTTGGACTTAACACAGCTTTTACAAATAAGTGTATTTTGAAATTGTTCGACAGCTTTAAGTTATTGAGAGATAAGACTTAGTTTAATACTATCTGTTTGTAGCAAAGTTGTTTTTCATTTACAACATATCAAAGTTTGTAGTCTTTAAATTATGAAAACATGATATGGGTAGCATTTTTTTTTTTTTTTAGCTGAGCCATCCTGACACCTGTTGGCAGCTCAGCGGCAGCTCAGCTCGGTCCGTGAATCAAACCGGGGACCCTGTTGCTCAGAGCTCAAACTCTTGAGCGAGCTCTTAACCAACTGAGCCACTCGGCCAGCCCTGGGTAGCATTTTTTATGTTTTACACACTGTATATGTAAACGCAGAATGAGCATAGATCCCACTAGTGACCTAATGTTGGCTTTCAAATTAACCCGCCCCCGATGGAGGACTCCAAGCAGTACAGACAGGCAGGGTCGGCTCAGGCACAGATGGGCTAGAAACCCTCCTGCGGAGCCTCCCAGAGGGTGGAAGGATCAGAACCGCCACATTTGCGCTCCTCCTGGGGCTCCCTCAAGGGTTGGCTGGGAACTGATCATGTTTATCACCAATTGGCAAAGTAGGATGTACCTTCCCAGGAGATACTGACTATAAAAGATTTATCTGCCCATTTTAAGAACAGAGAAAGAAGGCAGGTTCACTTCCAGCAATTACCCTAAAAGGTCCATTCTCAGATGGAAACACTCATGGAGCAAACAGGAATACCCGTTAAATACTCTGGGTACTCTGATGGATGCTGGGCAATAGAGTTACACAACACTGAGACCTGCCCTCAAGAAAAACAAAGTAGACCTGATACATAGAGTGTGATATGTGTACAGTCAATATATCATTATCTAAAGAAGCATTTTTTGCCAGATGTCACCAAGCAAGTTTCACACGGCCTGTCAGTTGAAGAACTTGGAACACTTGGATTACTGCTTCCTGTGGTTATGATAACTTGAGATAAAAACATAATACAGTATAAGAAGTGTATTTTTACAAGTAACTCCTTCAGGCTACATTAATTGGACACTGTTTATTTACAAATGTTTTCAATAGAGTACTTAGATCGGATTTTTTTTTTAAATCAGTTATGTCAGTCTAGTTAGAAATAACAGAAGAACGTTAAATTGACTTTAAAATCTAGCAAGATTATTCTACTTTTTCCATTCACTTTTCTAGGAGTTAATGAGATGATTTTAAAAGCATTTTTTTAACCCCATGATGAGTATCAAGTACAGAAAGTCCTCATGGATTTGACAAAATAATTTGAAAATTAGGTTGAAATGTGTTTGTTTTTTCCAATGAAAAATGTTGGCATCTTAACCAAACAAAAAAAGTGGAAAGTTGCAAGGCAAATGCTTACCTATGTAAAAGAAAAAACTATTTCCAAATGCCACAGAATAATTTACATTAAAGTGTGTATTGTAAGTAGAAGCTAGCATTGATTTTATTAACTTAGTTACTATATTCTTTGTATCCAACTCAGTGAAGATTTACTGTCATTGTTTATTCAGTCTGTATATATTAAAATACCTCTGACTTAATATGACTATCATTACTATATTATCAGTCTGTACTTATAAAATATTATGTCACTGTTTTTAATGTTCTCTTTTTAAAATATGTAACCTACATTAATAAACGTGAATGTTTGCTTGGTATCTGTTTGGAATAAATTTTTATTGTATCTTGCAGGGTCCTGGCAAGAAGGCCAGTCTAAAGGTTTAGCTGAAGAGCATTTAATGAAGACATGATTTGCAGAGGTGTGGACAGGGTTAAGGTAGCCAATGGGAATGGTGAAGTACTTCGGGACAAGCAATTAGGGGAGGCTGTTACCACCCAGCCCAAAGGGGTAGAGGAGGAAATATACTGACCCTCGTTCTCTGATTTTTTTTGCTGGTGCCTTCCATTGCTGCTGATCTTAAGCCCAGAGGTCAAGAGAACCTGGGTGCCTTGAAGGTCGACTTCTTGTAGCATGGAGAATGGATCTGGGGGTTGGGGAGGGAACACAGTTTCTACCAAAGGCATTGGGTGATTAGCCTTCTGGGTCTTTTTAATTTTTAATCCCTTCTTAGGAAAACTCCAGATTATATCATTGAGAATATGTTCAGATTTCTCGGTTCTAGGCAGAGAGGACAGAGTCTGCAGTTCTTTCATAGTAAACAGAGAAACAAATTAAATGTCAGAGACAGGACGACAAGTTGAAACCCGAAGAAGGGCTGCCCTTGAGGGACAATCCTTTGCTGTCTAACATTCTCTGGAGTAAAGGGGAGAGGAAATTAAAAGCAAAATGACAAGTATTTCAGAGTTGAAAATCAATCAAAACCTCTGTGATAATGCATTTCTAGATTCGTAGCCAACAGAAAAACATTTCAACTAAACAAGAATTCTGTTAACACAGAATTTGTAAGTTAACACACAAGCTTAGGTTTTTTTAGGTCTGGGCTCTCCACAAGTGTTTCAGGACTAGATATATTCAATGAAGTCAGCCCAATTCGTGGCCACCAGAAGCAGGATCCCTACTCTAACCAGAAAGTGACCTTTAACTCTTCTATTGTTATTTTTTTTAATGTGTTTGAATCCAGTAAACACACTTGGATTTTCTTAACACAAAAATGTTTGTTTTTCTCCACCAAGTCAAAAATAGGATTTTTAAGGAAATGGAATACTTGGCGGTTGAATATACATGTGCAACATTTTAGGTTGTTCTTCTGAATTTAAGAAATTAATAAAATGTTTGCACATCCTTCAGGAAGTCTTGAGTTCTGAAAGCAAGTGGAAAAATTAAGCAGTGTTTATGAGAAAGCTTTTTAAGTTTTTCTGAGGCCTGGACACTCCACTAGTAGCTTATCTTTACCTAGGTGTCATAGTAAAACTTAAGGGGAAAAACAGTCCCCAACAGTAATTTCCTGGCAGAATTTGTGTAGCTGTGTGGCTGTTCATTTCAAAATTACTAGACCAAAGGTTCACAGAGAGTAATTGATCACAGGATAAACTTATTTGTGTTTTATGAAGGAGATGCAGTTAAGTAAGCTGCAACCTAAGCAGAGGAGAAATGCTCCAATGCTGTGATTCTCAGAGTCCTTGAGAACCTTTCTTTTTTTTTAATTTTTATTATTTTTTTAAGATTTTATTGGGGAAGTGGATACCTGTTGGGCAACTGGGGAAGGGGAACAGCCAAGTTGTTGTCCTTTAATCTTAGTTGTGGAGGACGCAGCTAGCTCAGCTCCAAGTCCAGTCTCCATCCGGCCGCCTGTCAGCAGCTCGCGGCCACTCAGCTCAAGGTGCCGTGTTCAGTCTTAGTTGCGGGTAGGCGTAGCCCACCATCCCATGTGGGATTCGAACCGGCAACCTTGTTAGGAGCATGTGCTCTCACCAGCTGAGCCATCCTGTCCCCTGTTGGCAGCTCAGTGGCAGCTCAGCTTGGACGCAGTTCACTGGCCCATGTGGGAATCGAACCGGCGACCTTGTTGCTCAGATCTCACGCTCCTAACCAACTGAGCCACTCACCTGGCCCCCTTGAGGCCCTTTTAGATGTACAAGGTCAAAATGATCTTAAAACACTAGACATCATTTGCTGATTCTCTCATGAGTATACTGTTGAGTTTTCCAGAAGCTAAATGACATGTGATAGTGCAACAGATTGAATGATGAAGCAGATATGAAAATCTGTCTTCTTTTAAGCCATCCTCTAATGGGTTTGCAAAAATATAAAACAATGCAACTCTCCTTGTTCAATCATTGGGAAAAAAATATTTTTGTGAAAAATGTGATATTTATGTTATGTGTAATAAGTATTATTTTTAAGTGAAAGAAATATTTTTAGAAGTTGTTTCTGTTAATGTTTAATATGGTAACTGTTGGTAAATATAATCAATGGTTTGCTGCTAAACCGAATCTCCAGGAAAAAAAAAAAAAAAGGCCCTGATTTGTAGCATTTGCCAGTTTCCATAGTGTAAATACTCCCCTGTTGCCAATTTGAAGCTTCCAATGGTTTCACAGTTGGCTTGAAAAATTCCTCTAATACTGAATTTTCATGAGCTGGTTCAGCTGACTCCAACACTCCACTGGATATAACCTACATACATAAAAACTCTCTGGGGTCCTAAATAATTTTTTTTTTAAAGATTTTATTGGGGAATTTGGGAAGGGGAACAGCGCTGGGGAACCGGGGAAGGGGAACAGACAAGTTGCTGTCCTTTTGTT